TCGGGCCTTCCCACCTACATTCCATCACCAGAACTATAAAAAGGGGAAACAACCGCATTTCCATGGATTCCACCTCTTGGATCCCCTTCTTCCTCCGGGAGAAGTCTTTTCTGCTGTCCTTTAATAAACTTCTAATTTCCACTCTGACCTGGCCTGCTTCTTTGGTGTTATTCTTCAACATCAGGGAAGCCAGGATTCAACACCGGTCAACAGCGGTAACACTGCCAGCCCTCCCATAACTGAGTTTTCCCAAAACCAGGACTGGGATTTTGACAGGATGGAGTGAGGATCACAAAACAATTTTAGAATCTGAAACTTTTTTTTTTTTTTTAAAGAGAGAGTGAGAGAGAGGAGAGAGAGAAAGAATCTTTAATATTTATTTTTTAGTTGGCGGACACAACATCTTTGTTGGTATGTGGTGCTGAGGATCGAACCCGGGGCGCACGCATGGCAGGCGAGCGCGCTACCACTTGAGCCACATCCCCAGCCCTAGAATCTGAAACTTTAACATGAACAATTGAGAAATGGCCGCTGCAAGAAGTGATGCACCTTGGGTAAGAGTGAAAAGCGCCTTGGGCCACCCAGCGCCAGCCAGCCGGGTAGCAAAGGCCCACAGGCAGCGGCTCGGGAGCTAGAGTCCTCCCAGTGGGACGGGCAATGACTGCAGGTCAGCTGGAGCCTCAACAAGGAGACCCAGCCAAGAGGCAACCACCTGGGCCTGGGCCCCCACACTGGGTAGCCGCAGGATGAGGGCTCAGCTCTCCCCATCTCTCTGGCCTCTCCCCCTACCTCCAGCTGCAGCAAGCCCTGCACACTTGCTCAGAGAAGGCCAGAGACGGAAGGAGAGTCCCAGTGCCACCTAGACACAGCACGCCCAGCCGCAGGAAGAGCCCAGGGTGGAGACTTGTGGGCCTTCCACCAGCCCACACAGGGCAGCACAAGGGAGCCAGGCTGAGGAAGACACCTGGGGACACAGTGCCACATGCCACGAGGTTCAGTCCAGGGAGGTGACTAAACCCACAAGCAAGAGAGCAACAGGCCAAGTGTCAGGTTTCAAGGCCTCAACATATTATCTAAAACATCTAGTTTTAAAAATTCATAGACTTCATTTTTTGCGCAATTTTAGGTTTAGTGAGAAGGTGAGCAGAAGGTGCGAGCTCCGTGTGCCCCCTGCCTCTCACCCATTTCCCCCATCACACCCTGCAGCAGTGTGGCCTGTGACCTGCAACTGAGCCGGTTAAGGCACCTGCTTTCAACCCAAGGCAAAGGAACAGGAAAAGCATAGCCAGTATTTAGGGGAAAGCTAGTTCCAGAAACTTCCTCTGAGTGAATGTAGGTGTTAGGCTTCACAAATAAAAAGCCATGGAGCTGGGCAAGGTGGCACACGCCCGTAATCCCAGCAGTTCGGGAGTCTGAGACATGAGGATCCCAAGTTCAAAGCCAGCAATGGTGAGGTGCTAAGCAATTCAGTGAGACCCTGTTTGTAAATAAAACACAAAATTGGGCTGGGGATGTGGCTCAGTGGCCAAGTGCCCCTGAGTTCTATCTCTGGTACAACCCCTCCCCCCCCAAAAAAAAAAAACAACGGTAATGGAAACCGTGTTTAGAGAACTAAAGAAAAGTGTGATGAAATGTCTTAAATAATCTCAATAAGCAGTTCACTGAAAGAACAAATTTGGCAACACAGGCCTGCAGTCCCAGCTACCCCAGAGGCCCAGATGGAGGTTGCCTGAGCCAGGAGCCTGAGACAGCCTGGACAGCACAGGGAGACCCTGCCTCCTAAAAAATAAAAGAAAAACAAAAAGCACCAAATAAGAATTTGAACTGTTGAAACCCCAACACAAGGAGAAAATCTTGAGACCAGCAAGAGAGAAATACTCAATACAGAGCACAGACGGCACATTTAATTAGTGGCTGATTTTTAATGGAATCATCAAAAAGGAGCACCAACACTCTGCCATCTACAGCGGGAACAAGGACACTCCTTCCACGAAGCAGGGACACCCAGCTACCAAAGCCACCAAAGACATCATGAGAAAAGAATACTACAGACCACTCTTGAACACAGACACAGAAATCACTAATACAACATTAGCTTAATTCAGCAACACACAAAAAGAAATTATTTGCACTATTTCAGGGATGCAAAGTTGGCCCAATATTTAAAAATCAATGTATTACACTATGAAGGATAAAGAGCTCATGTCATCCTAAAAAGTATCTGACAAAATCCAATACCTGTTTATGGTAAAAACTAGGACTAGTCAGGTATAGTGGCACACACCTGTCATCCCAGTATTTTGAGAGGCTGAGGCTGGAGGATCAAAATCAAATTTGAATCTAGCCTCAGCAATTTAATGAAATCTTCAGCAACTTAGATCCTACCTCAGAATAAAACATCAAAAGATCTAGGTATGAGCTCAGTGGTAATGTGCTCCTGGGTTCAGTCCCCACTACCAAAAACAAACCAAAAATGCCGCAGTCTGGCTGGGCACAAAATCAGGAGCCACTCAGGCAGGAACAAACTTTATTTTTGAAACTGCCGCCAATGCCCCGACGCTCCCGGGAAGATTGCAGATCAACGCACTCGGCGTTCTCCCGGATCCCAAGAGGAAGTTCCTCCTCCCGAACTCTTTCCTACAGCACTTCCCCAACCAATGGGAACTCTGCAGGAGTCCCGTAGCAGGCCGAGGTGGACAGCAGGAGTCCAATATCCATATGAATGCAAATCTTAACATAATCATATCATCTCCATGGCTAGCTGGCGTCACCTTTCAACCAAAAATGCCATGCATCATATTACTTGGCTGTGGCTCTTAGCACAAAAACACTAGAGCCAGGCCCTGGGTTCAATCCCAGAAGGGAACTCCCTAACCCTGGTAAAGGAGCACCTACAAGAAATCTGTGGCAAACATTGTATTTAGTGATGAGACACTGCCATCTGTCCCCTTAAGACAGGAACAAGACAAAGGTGCCCACTCTCTCTCTGCCTCCATCCTACACTGTGCTGTTCCAGTGGATGGATGGACCCCAAGGGCATTATGCTGGACAGGAAGAACGCTGCCCAGCTCACTCACATATGGAGTCCAAAAATGTYGAACTCAGAAGCAAAGGGTTAGGGCTGGTTGCCAGTGCGGTGGAGCCAGGAAATGGGATGTCACAGGACACAGACTGCCAGCAGTGAGATGATCAGGTTCTAGGGGTGGTACACAGCAAGAGTGTGTGTTAATAAGCTTGACTGTGGTGACCATCACACAGGTATGTTTATCAGCTCGTCTCCTCCCAACCCCTCCACAAGTAATTGTAAAACAAAGAAAGGGTGTGTGCAGCATACAGAGAGAACTCTCACGACTTGATAATAAGATGAACTGCCTGACTGAAAAGCGCTCAGAACATCTGAAGGGACATTCCACCAAAGGTCTGCAAATGGCTAGTAGGCCCTGAGAAGATGCTCAGCACTGTTATTCACCAGGGTAACTCAGAGGCAAACCACTGCCAGCCCACTGTGCACCTGCCTGGGTGGTGCCAAGTTCTCCCCTCAAGTCCTGTGTTGCAGTTCTAAGCCTTCAGAGTACAGCTGCACTTGGGGTTAGGGTCCCTAAGGAGGCAACAAGCTAAATCAGGTTGCCAGGGAGGGCCCTAATCCCACAGGACTGGAGTCCTGATAAGACAAGATCAGGACACAGACGTAGGGCCAACCCTGTGAAGACCAGGGAGAAGACTCCCTTTCCATGTCAGGAACAACCAGCCCTGCCCACACCTTCATCTCAGACCTCATCTCCATAACAGGGAAAAAATGAGGTCTGTTGTTTAAATCACCCATCTGCAGCAATTTTTTGGCAGCCAGAGGTGGCTAATTCAGATGGATACCATGAAAAAGACAATAGCAGATGTTGGTGAGAGCCCCATACTGCTGGGATGTAAAGCTACTGCCCAGGAAACACGTTGGCATTCCCTTAAAAGCTAAATGTACACTTAATATTCAAATATTCAGCAGTTTCTCTCTGCATCATCTACTTGAGAGAATGAAGCACATGTCTACCAAAGACTTGAACAGGAGTGTTCAACGACATCAAAAACATGGTGCCCAAGTTGGACAGGATTCTCACCAAGGACATGGGAGTGAGCACAGTGCATGTGCCAGCACTGTGCTTGGAGCCCTGCATGAATCATGGTACACACACCCTCAGCCAAGCACTGTGGAGCACCTTCTGCATGCTGGGCCTCCTACAGACAGTCGTCACCATGGTGACTGGGAAAGTCAAGGCTGCCCTGGGAGAGCGCACAGCCCAAGGAGTCAGAAGCTGACAGAGTGGAAGGCCATCCTCTGGGGCTGGGGTGGTCTCTCAGCGGTAGAGCACTCGCCTAGCATGTGCGAGGCCCTGGGTTCGATCCGCAGCACCACATAAAACTAAATAAATAAAGATATTGTGTCCAACTAAAAAATAAATATTAAAAAAAAGAAGGCCATCCTCTGGGTGAGTGGGGGCCAAACCCATGCTGTGTCTGGCCCCAGCTGCCCCAAGGGATAGGAGGCAGGGGAGGGGACAGGCGGTCTGTGCCAAAGGTCTGCCTGGTGGAGGAGCAGCCTGGGCTGGGCTGGTCCCAGTACCTGCCCCCCGCCCTAAGGGGGTGTTTATGTGGGGATTTGGATGGTGTTGGTCTGAGGCGTGTTGGGTTCCTAGGAGGTGTGTGTGTGTGTGTCTGGTGTTGAGGCATGTGAGATGTGTCTATGCTGTATTACATGTGTTACATGTGTGAGTGTGAGGTGTGTGTCAGGTGCGTGTCTGTGAAGGTAGGGGCTCCCGGCCAACGTCTGATGAGGGAGGGGGTGCGTGGGGCCACAGTAGCAGCGGTCCCTCCTCCAGCCTGGTTACCACGGCAACCACAGCCTCGGTCTCGCGGCTCCAGCCCCTTGCCCGCCCCGCCCCCGGCTGCGAAGCGTCTGGAACTGCATCCTCCGCATCCACATCCGCATCCTCACCCTCCCGCGACCGCGTCCTGCAGCAGCTGGAGTAGGAGCCGCCTGTGAGCCATTTCCAGGTTTCTCCTTGTGGAGTGGGGTGAGGGGCCCGTGTGTGTGGGGGGGTGTGCAACGATGTGACAAGCGCAAGGGTGTGTTGGTGTGTGCAGGAGAGAGTGCGTGTGCAGGGATGTGCTGGGTGTGTGTACGGTGCAAGTGTTGCAGGAGCACTTGGGCAGATTGAATGGTGGCCAGAGTGGCCAGGCACAGCTACCCTCCTACCTTGGGGACTCTGCCTGTCCCCAGGCCAGGCCCATCCTGCTAACCAGAAGTGGGGGGTGGGGAGGTCCTCAGGCCTCTCAGGAAGCGGGAGATGCTGCCCGGTTTTGCTGACTGGATGGGGGTGGTTCTTGGGGGTGGGCGATGTCAGGGGAGTCCTAAGTGGGGACAGTCACAACCTGGACGTTCAGTAAGTACCTGAGTGTCCCACCTGCAGAGACCTGACCTGCTGCTGGGATCCCCTTATCAGGCACAGGCGGGCAGCAGACGGGTAGGACTGCAGCCTCCTCCCTATGAGCTGGCTCCACCCCTGCAGGTCTGAGAGAGCCAGTGGGAGCTATGCATCCCCAAGGTGGGCAGAGAGGGCCAGTCCCAGCTCCTGTTCAGCTCTGCCTGCAGACGTTGGCAGGGAGAAGGGACCGGGAATGGGGAGAAGATGGGTAGCAGAAGGGGCATTGGGCCAGATCATCAAGGATCTGCTGCCTGCAGGGGGTCGGGGGCGTGATGGGGGTGGCTGCATGACAGGCAGGAAGTGGCCAGAAAGTAGGGAGGCGGCATTTCTCCAGAACCACCTGCCACAGCTCTGGATATGCGGCCACAGGTGGCTGGAACGCAGGAGACTGCGCCCCGGTTTCTCTTTGCCTGCGCCCGGCAGCTCAGCAGGGCTTCAAACCCGAGTCAAATCACCAACCGCTGCAGGGCAGGGGGACAAAAGCACCTGGTCGGGCGGTGGGTGGGGGCCTGCGGCGGGGACAGGCGCGGGGGAGGTAGGGGCGGACCCGTAGAGGTCCGCAGTCATGAACGCGCCCGATGCGCACGCCGCGCACGCGCTGGTGGCTCGCCTGCATAAGCCACACCCGCGGGCACCTCCCCTCGTGACACAATGTCCCAGAGTTGGGTGGGGTGTGCGAGTGAAAGCAACTCTATGACGTGACCTCTAGCAGAGATATCATCCATCTGTCCATCAACAGCTTGTGCACCGCCCACCCTCCAATCTTGGAGCTTGGTGCACTGTCCCCACAACAGCAGCGCAGACAGGATTACAGAGCGGGGGTGGGGGAAGAGCCAGTAGGAAGAGTAAGGATGCCCACTCCCCACAATTCCAGAGCTGTCTACTGTGTGCATGCATCCAGCGCGCCTTCCCAGCGGATCTCCGTGACTCAGCGACCCAAAGGATGTTCTGGTGTGTGGAGAGGGGCCGGGAGTGATCCCAAGCACAGCCTCCTTCCTGGCATCCCGCCCGGACACTGAGGCCTGGAACAAGATGCAGAGGCGTGTGTGGGGTGGGGGGAGTCCTGCCCCGTTGCTGTAGGAACCTGAGATGACGCGCGCCAGGGAAGCTGGAGCTCATAGTTGGCCCCGGATGATCCCAAGCGGATCGATCCCGCATTGGACTCTCCCACATGCTTGCGCCTAGCCGCTCCCGACCTGTGCCGAGGCTGGTGTACCTCGGAATGGCACTCCGTGAAAATCCTAACGCCTCTCTCCTCGAGGGCACCCTGCATGGCACCCTCTCCTGTCGTTCCATCCTCTCGCCGGGGATCTAGACCGGCCTTTATAGGTATTCTCATTGCCTCATCGTCCATCTCTGCCTTCCCACTGCGATACTGTCAGCACCCAGTGCCCAATGGGTTGGGTGCTGTGCGCCAAGTATGAAGCACCGTGAAACCACATCCCCTTGGTAGCCGGTCGCTCACCTGCCCAAGGGAGGTGCCAAGAAGCCAGGCCCAGACCACTCCAGGAAGAGCCTCGTGCCACATGACCTCTTTCCTGGTCTGGCCAGACACCGGGTCACTGGCAGTAAACATGCTTCCAAGGGACCTCTCTCCAGAGTGCCTGACTGGGGTCAGCAGCAGGGTGACCTCCTCAGTGGCCCCCTGCTGCCCTCCCCAGCTCCTCTCACACAGGCATTGGTGCACCTGTGTTGAGATGTCGCCCTTCACTGGCTGAGAGCAGCACCTTCTTCTCTGTGTCCTATACATTGATTCCACAGATACACTGCGCACTGCTGCGTAGGGGCACATTTCAACATGGAGACCTCCAAGACCTACCACCACAGCCTTCCCCGCCTGTTAGGAGACTCTGCTCTTCTTTGTGTCTGTCAGTAACTTTTTCCACATGGAGGTCCTGCCCATTCTGGCTGGCTATACCTGTTCCCAAGCATTGCATATTTTTGATACTATTTAAATAGAATCTTTTTAAAAAATTGTTTTCCTTTTTTTTTGCCATTGGCATAAAGAAATATACCTGCTTTGCAAACTTTATCTCTTGTCATCTCAATAGACTCATTTTCAGACCTTATCTGTAGCATTTTTGGATTTTCTACACACCAAAGCAGTTTCTTCCATGAACAATGACAGCATTCCTTGTTCTTGTCCCAGGCTTGGGTTTCATTTCTGTGCCCTGTGTGGCTGCATGGCTGAGATCTCTGCTACTGTGTCACAAAACAGACCAGGTCAAGGTGATTCTTACCTCCTTCCTGGTATCCAGCACCAGACTTGTGTTCAGTGAGCTTCACTGTAGGGTTTTTACTGTTAACTTCTATCAAATTAAGGAACATTCCTTCTGTCCCTAATATGTAATTGATTTTTGAAATAGTAAATAAATGTTGAATCCTGTCAAATATTTTTTCTGCTTCTATTGAAATTCATCAGATGTTTTTCCTTCTTTCTTCTGTTAATGTGGTGAAGATAGAGATTTTTCTTTTTTGTACTGGGTTTTGAACCCAGGAATGCTTAACCACCATGCCACATCCCTAGACCTTTTTCTTTTTTAGTTTGAGACAGGATCTTGCTAAGTTGTTTATGGCCTGGCTTAATTGCTGAGGCTGACCTCAAATTTGCAGTCCTCTAGTCTCAGCCTCATTTTTTGTATCTTGATGGCTATGGCTTGCTAGGATTTAACTTGGAGTCTGCTCTGGCATTTGCAGGTGGGAATGAGCTGTGACTTCCTCTCCTGTGTCCTTGTCAGGCTGCCAGGTGCAAGCTGTGCTGGCCTCGGCTATGGGTGTCCCCAAATCCTCTTCCCCTCATTCCTTCTGGAACGGTGGGATCAGCAGTGAGGCTGACAGGGCCAGGAGTTCTTTTTGAGAGGTCTTAATGGCAGACTACATTTCTCAGTGGACACGGGACCTCTTCTCTTAATTGAGTGTATTYTGTGCTCCTTTTTCATCTGTCAGCGTCAGGGTCATTTGCTGCACCCCTTTTCTCTCAGAGGTCAGCCTAGAGGTGAATGTGTGTCTGCTCTTGACTTGCCTAGTGCTCAAGGGACTTGTATCCCCTTCCTTCCCCCAAGCCACTGGATTCTGTCCTGGGATATCGGGTTTCCAGGAGATCTGCCCTTCCATGCACCAACCAGACCATGTTCTTCCATTAGTGTCTGAATTTACTAGCAGATGCCCTCCTTCAGTAGCTCCAGCAGGGCTGCCAGAGGAACACAGGATACCCTATTGCATTTGAATTTCAGATAGACAAAGATTGACATTTTAGTATAGATATGTCCCATATTGAGTATTACATGGGATTCACTTATATTTTAAAAAGTCACCATTGGTTAACTGAAATTCAAATTTATCTGGGCCTATGTGCTTAAGACTGGAAACCCAATTCAAACTGCTCTTTGAATCTTTTCCTTTGAGCATAACAGCAGCCCTTAAGATATCCTTTAGGACAGATCAGCTGGTGGAAGACCACCCCCCCAGTTTTGTGTCTGGGTAGTCTCTGACCAGAGGCACCACACCCTGCAGAGTTGAGGGGCCCCAGGGTCAGGAAAAGACAAAAAGCCTTGGCTGGAGGAGCACTGGGACTAGCCAGGGGTCCTCTCACTCCAGAGACAGCCGGCATGACTGTCCACAGGGTGGCCTCTGAACAATGACCCTGTCTGTCTCTGGGGCAGGACAAGGGCCACTGTCCACCATGGTGAAGCTGGGCTGCAGCTTCTCCGGGAAGCCAGGCAAAGACCCTGGGGACCAGGATGGGGCTGCCACGGACAGTGTCCCTCTGATCAGTCCCCTGGATGTCAGCCAGCTGCAGCCACCATTCCCTGACCAGGTGAGTAGCTGACCAGTGGGGAGAGGCCACTTCAGGCCTGCTTGGGAACAGACAGGAGTGAGGTTCATATAGATGTGACCTCCTCCAAGATGCAGTGGAGCCAGGGTCCTGAAAAGCCAATCCTCAGCTGACCACAGCCAAGGTGACCTCCTGTTGGGCTCCCTCATCCAGAGCCCCTCTTCCCATCTGAGAACAGGGCAAACTGGCCAGAGGATGCCTGAGAATTTGAGCACCCAGCCCACAATGCAGTCTGAGGGACAGCAAACCATAGTATAAACTCTTCTGATAGGCATGGTTCTGGGTGGGGGGCCAGAGATGGGCTCTTTGGGCAAGTGACTAATGGAGGGTGGGCTTTCAGCAGACATCAGTGGGAAGCAAAGAGCCCAGCTCAACCCTAACCCAGCCTGAGCTCCAGGACCTCTGGGCGTAAAGGGCAGTAGGAGCTGTCCCAGCTGGAGGCAGGGGCCATGCTCTGTGCCCACGCCAGGCAGTTCCTGGTGGTAGGGTCCCCTGAGGACAGTTCTCCAGGTGGGCTTCAACTGCTTCTCCTCCAGCAGTGGACACTATGGGCAGGCCCAGCCTGCGTCCTCCAGAACACACAGAGTTTAGAGCTAGCTCTGCTCCATGGCAGGGGCCCCAAGACTATGAGAGTCAGGACAGGCTCTGGAGGAGGGAGCCAAAGCTCCAAGCTGAGGAGCTACCAAAAGGGAAGCTATGGCAGGGAGATTTCACCCCCTTAGAGTGGAGGGCGGTCAGACACAGCATCCACCTCCCTGGGCTTCATTTTGGAGCTGCTGGAGCTCTGCCTGCCATCGGATGATCCTGGCAGACGGTCAGCTTTACACCATCACCCTGCACGGCACCCTGGCTCCTAACACTTCCAGGTTAGGGCTCTCCTGGGTCATTGCCAGCTGCCCAGCAAGGCCATGGCCATCTCCCTCCTCAGGTGGTCATCAAGACACAGACGGAATACCAGCTGTCCTCCCCAGACCAGCAGAAGAAGTTTCCGGACCTGGAGGGACAAAGGCTGAGCTGCGGCCACCCAGAGGAAGGGCGCAGGGTAACCCACCTGCTCCCTGCTGTGGGAGTCAGGGCAGGGACAAGTGGAGGGGCAGCCCGGGCTGCAGGTGTCCAGGTTCTAAGCTGGGCTGTCCCCATAGCAGGGGGTCATTCCACTCAGGATGGCCTTCCAGCCTGCCTGACCTTTAGCTTCCACAGGCCGACTTTCTTCCAAGGCTGACTGCAGAGTGCGGAGCTGGGGCTTTTGCCCCTTCCCAGGGAAGCAGCCTCTCCCCAACAGGCCACTGTCTTCTCTTTTTCTTTCTTCCTTTTTTTGGGGGGTGGGGAGGTACCCGGGATTGAACTCAGGGACACTAAACCACTATGCCATTTTCCTAGCCCCATTTTGTATTTTATTTAGGGACCGAGTTTCACTGAGTTGCTTAGTTACTTGCTTTTGCTGAGGCTGGCTTTGAACTCACAACCTCCTGTCTCAGCTCCCCACCTGCTGGGATGGCAGGCCTGCGCCATCAGGTCCGGCACCACTGTCTTTTCTTAAGCTACCTGCTGACTTTCTACGTCATCTAGATGTTAACTTTTCTGTAACACATACGACATAACACCTTCCCTCATCTTCTTTTAACCTCTTTATTAATGGTGGCTTTTTTTTTTCAGAAGGACACAATACCTTTATTTTATTTGTTTATTTTTATGTAGTGTCAGAGGTCGAACCCATTGCCTCACGCACACTAGGCAAGCGCTCTACCACTGAGCCACAACCGCAGCCCCTAAAGGTGGCTTTAATAATAATTTTTAGTGGACTATTTCTAAAGCCTCTCATTTTTCAAAAGTGACATCTGTCACTTTTAACCCCATAGTTCCTTCAATGAAGGGCCCCACAGGGGCACTGAGGCCTGGCTGCACTTCAGCAGGTCTGTCTAGTCTGGGGCTCCAGCACCCTCCTCACTGGGGAGGCCTGGAGATGTTCCCAACAAACAACACCCTGGCCATGGTGGCCACTAACCTCCCTGGGTGCCATGTGGGCAGGGAAGCTGCTGGATAAGTTCTTATAAGCACCTGCTGGTCAAAGGCCACATGCACTTTTCTGGGTGGCAGGTGCTTCCAGAATCCCATCAGAGGGGGCACCAACATAGCCTGGACCCTGAAGAGTGGTTCCTGGGCACTTGGCCCTGGGGCTGACCTCCTGAAAAGTGCCAAGGCTTGGGGATGGTAATCCCTTTCCCGTCCCCAGCCCCAAAGGGGGCTCTCCCTAGGAAGCTGGCCAACTTGGTTCCCTGCCTAAACCAAATATCTCTTTTCCCTCCACCAGCTGCCCACTGCCAGGATGATCGCCTTCGCTATGGCCCTCCTGGGCTGCGTGCTGATCATGTACAAGGCCATCTGGTATGACCAGTTCACCTGCCCAGATGGTTTCCTGCTTCGGGTAAGACCAGAGGCCTGGGCGGGGAGCAGCAGAAACCACCCTGGCCCTTGCATGCCTTCAAACACTTCACAAGTCCTTCCAGGCTGACGCCAGACATGCTTCTCCCTGGGAGCCCCCTCCTCTTAACCACGACCACCTGGTCCTATGGCTCTCCACGAAGCCTCCGTGGATTCTGACCTGGAGGTGGATCTTAACTGGAACCATCTCCATTTCCATAGACCCGCCGCACCCCGTGCCTGGACTTCCAACCCCCCTTGCTCACCTGCCCCAGCAAGCCCCTGACCCAGCCCCGCCCCTGCCCCCGCCCCCGCAGCACAAGATTTGCACGCCGCTGACCCTGGAGATGTACTACACTGAGATGGACCCCGAGCGCCACCGCAGCATCCTGGCGGCCATCGGGGCCTATCCGCTGAGCCGAAAGCACGGCACTGAGATGCCCGCGGCCTGGGGAGACAGCTACCGCGCCGCCAAGGAGGTGCACAAAGGGCCCACTCCGGCGGCGGCGGTGGCGGCGGCGGCAGCTGCAGCGGCGGTGACCACCGAGACCCCCGGGCAGCCCTCGACCCAAGGAGAGAAGGAGGAGGCCCGCCAGGCAGCGAGTAGCGCACCTCCCCCGGCCCCTCAGTGAGGGCCCTCCAGCCAGCCTGGCCCGGGTAGGTGTGTCCGCCACTTTGTGGCGCTGACCTCCCCATCGAGGCCTCCCTCTGACCTCTTGCCGCCTTTTCTGAGCACGGGACACTCCTTCCTCCCCTCTCGGCTTTCCTGGGAACCCCTCATTCCGGCCCGGCCCGGCCCCCCAGAACCTCTCCCAGGCGGGCGCCTTCCCACTCCCACCACGCAGAGTCCGAGCAGTAGTTGGGGCGAGCAGGGAGCGGGGCGAATGGGAAAGGGGGCCGCCTCTTCCCACTGGGTGGGCGTGGGGGGCGGGGAGCGGGCTGCACACCGGACCTTGCCCCTCCCGCTCAGCCCCTGCCCCTCCATCTTCGCAGCCTTCCCCAGCCAGCTCCTGTGACCAGAGCATTGCCCCCCGCTGCTCTCCCACCCAGTGTTTGTGCCCCTACCCCCAGGCACCCTGCTGAAGCCCCGCCCCGGGGGCCTCTGCCTCTGTCGCTTTTCTGTAAGTAAAGATTCCCGTCTACTGGCCCTTTGTGTTTTCTGCACCTACTGCCCATCCCCAACCCCATGTGACGGAGCTCCTGGGGCCCAGAGGGACCCCTGAAGTCCTGCTCCTGAGGCCGAGGATCAGGGATGCTCTTGCTGAGGAAGATCCCACTACCTTGCTAGTTGGGCTGGGGGCCATAGCCCTGCGAAGGGGCCTTGTCCTCCACTTGCCCTGACTGGCCACAATGGAATTCTAAGAGTCCTGGGTGGACTCTGTCAACCGCCAAACCCATGTTCTGCCATATCTCCGGCTTGTCTGCTGGGTTCTGGGCCTGGTCCTTGAGCCACCAGTGTCTAGCAGTAGCCCGGCTCCTGGGGTTACCCCCCACACACACTCCTGGCAGCACCTGCACTGGGTTTCTGCCCCAAGAGGAATCACTTACTGTCACCATGAATGTCCTAATGAAGCAATGAGCGGATGCTTCACCTGGATAGGGAATGGGGCCTTGCAGGGTCTGTGAGCTCTAGCCCCGCCAGCTGGGAGCTAGACAGGACAGTCTGAGGGGGCCCAGTGGGAAGATCCCTCACTCCTACCAGCCCTTCCATCAAGCCAGCCTGCAACTCTGCAGGACCCCAGCTGTCACCTTGCCTACCTAAGCACCTGTTCTCTGTTGCTTCCATTTTGGGGCCCAGACATCCCACCTGGTTGGAGGTGAGCTCAGGCCTGGGGATTGTGGTGGCAGTTAGGGGCCATGACAGAGAGTACTTGGTGGGGCATGAGGAAGCAGCTCCAAGCAGGAGGGGCCACTGTGTCCTGGCTGGAGCAGGAGGGGCACTAGCATCCAGGGGGCCCCCCAGTGGAAGTCCCTGGGAGAGCCCCCTACTCCAGTGTGGACCAGACAACATGGACCAGAACCTGTGTGTCGGAAGCAGATCTGGGAGGATACACACCATGTCCCCATCTCAGTGCACACCTGCCACACACGCCCCATGTCCCCTGTCTCTGTACACACACCATGTCCCCTGACTCTGCACACACCACACACACACCTCATGTCCCCATCTCTGTGCACACACTATACACACACCCTGCATCTCCTCTCTGTAAACACATCGGTACACACACATGTAAAATCTGCTTGAGTTCTTGTGACAGCAGTACCCTGGGGTTGACTCCAGTCTCCCCTTATTTGTAGCCCCCTCTACTGGGAGAAGACCAGTCCCTCTTGTCCTTCATGTGTTTATTTGCTCAGTCCTAAAATGCATCAGAGTCGGCAACTCAAACATGACAAAAAGGAGCCTGCAAACTGGAACTCAGGGTCTTTTGGGTCTTTAATCTGAAGGTACAAAGTCCAAGTGTACACTCAAAGGTCATTTGAGTTAGTCCTTTTTTCCACATCAGAGAGATTACATTATTGATTTGAAATACGGTGAGGGGTGAGGCTCATTATTGCTTGTACTCTGTTTTAGGCCTCTCCCCACTTTGTTATTTTTATTCTATTATGTAAGACCTTGACATGGTTCCAAAAGTCAGCTCAGATGAGACACCCCTGCCACGCCCACCCCACCCCCGCATCCCACCCATCCGGAAATGCATCTTACTCGTGTCTAGTTTGGCTTTCCTCCATCTCCTTTGCAAAAATCATCAGACACACTTTCCTTTTTCTGCTCCTTTCCTAGACTTTAACTGAAGGGCTTTTGTCCACAGTGACAACCCGCAGTTGTGGCCCCAGCTCAGGTCCTGTCCTTCACCCTGTCCTGGTGCCACCTGGAGTGGGCACACACCCACAGGTCACAGGTTCAGACCCCCACATGCCCTCTCTCTCAGGGGGTAAAAGCTGGAATCCCAGGATCCACAGGCCACCTGCACTTCTGTCCAACTGGGTGGCAGACCCGGGCACTCCTGGACCCCTGGGCAGGCTCAGTACTTCTCTGGAACAACTGATGGCCTTCAGGAAGGCACTTGGGTCAGTCGTGTTAATCACATCGAGTGCTGGGCAGAAGTGCTGGCTTTAGAGAGTGAGGGAAGCAAAAGCACAGAACTTGATGGGCCATTTCAAAGTTAGTGTCCTGGTAAGGTTGGGACAAACAGCCTGGGGTCACCTCTGCAGGAGGACTAGAGCCAACTGGAGCCGGCCTGTTGGGAACTCACTCTAGAGTCTTTCCTGGCCTCGGGTGGGACAAGTAACAGCCTCGTTTTGTTTCTGTTTTGTTGTTGTTTTTTATTTGGCCTGTGGAGCTTCCGTGAGGTGACTCCATTCTGGTTTGGTTGGCCTGTTGGGCCTAGTACAGGAGCCCAGTCCAAAGCAGTGGCCCCTGTAATTTTATTTTCCATTTCCTGTTTGCAGTTTGTCATGAAGGCACACCTGGTCAGCCACGTAGAAGGCAGGGGGCAAGGTGGCGGGGGACGGGCACACCCTGCCAGGGCAGAGGGCAGAGCTGTCACCCTTGACTCAGGGTTCTGGTGACCAGCCCCTTCTGAAGCATCAGGGCCCCCAGCCTGAGTCACGTCCCCAGCACAAGCTCAGGCCTTCATAAAGGTGTGGTCCACAGTGGCTGCAGGAGCAGCTCAGGCGTGCTCGCGGCTCTGTGCCCAGCAGGACCTGGGGCAGGACGGCTGTGCAGCCATGCCTCGCTGGGTGCCCTGCTGAGTGTGGTGCTGTGCTGCCAGGACTAAGTCATGCACATGTGTTTTTCTTCTGGTTGGTGATTTATCTTCAGGGTTAAGTTCTAGAAGTGGTATTTCTGGGTTAAACATATCTTTTTAAAATATTTTTTTAGTTGTTGACGGACTTTATTTTATTCATTTATTTATCTGCAGTTCTGAGAATCAAACCCAGTGCCTCACATGTGTGAGGCAAGCACTCCACCACTGAGCCACAACGCCAGCTCTAAAAGCATGTTTTATAATTATAAACTTAAAACAAGTTTTTTTCAAGCTTGAAAGCTCAACCTAAAAGTTTATTTATAAACCCAGTAATTTTTGTGTTAGTGTGAAAATACACCACTTATTTTTTAACATTCCATTCACTTATACTTGATACATTAAATCCTCTAAACATTTTTTAAATGGTTTGGATAGATTTTATTTATTTTATTTTTTTGAGTTGTTGCTGGGCCTTTATTATTTATGTATTTATTTATTTTTATGTGGTGCTGAGAATCGAACCCATGCCAAATCTCTAAACTTTATATAGACATTTTGCAGACATGTCAAACTTGATTAAACTCCCCAGGTGTTTCGAACTGGAATCACAAATCAATGTATCTGACCCTCTTGGGCACCTCAACCATCCCACAGTGCAGACTGGCATGCTGCCCGGGGAAATACAAGAGCACTTATGCACCACATACTCTTTGGGATGGCCAGCGGCACAATCTGGTGACCTGTTTTAAAACGAAAACCACAGGCTCATGAGACAGAATTTAAAGATTCGAATCTAGACAAGTTGAGTGTACTCTGTGAACTTAAAATCTCCACATGGTTTGAGAAGATCGTTCCTAATCTCTGCCCACAAGTAAGAGCCCTGCACCCCCGGCACCTCAGGTGAGCCAGTGCACCTGCTGGCCAGGTCTCTCAGTTGGGGGTGGGACCCTGGCCCCCTCCACTAAAGCCAGGCCTTGCCCCAGAGGCATCCAGACCCCTCCTGGGCCTGTCAGCCAGACCCTGCCTGGGTCCCTTGCATTCTGTAAGGATTTCTGAGGTGCCTGTAAGGTCTGCTCTTGCCCAGGTTTTACTGAAACCTCTCAAAATGGTCTTGAAGGTGATCACCCTGTTGCAGTGGACCCTGGAAACTCCCTCCAGGTGGGCCATCTGAGGGAGCTATGTGTCAGGAGGTGGCCTCAAAGAGGTGCCCTCCCAGGACAAGCCTGAGGACGCACTGTCTCACCACCCTACCTGGACATCAGCTGCCATGTGACTCTTGCATGGGTACCTCTGAGCACTGCCAGTTCCTGGGTGACCCCACTGAATGACCCAGGCATGACCCTGTGATGCTGCAGCTTTAGGAAATCAAGAGCGGGGTGCACTCTTCTCCCAGGAGTCCTGTAGTACGGAGCCTTCCTCTCCTCGTGTGTCCACGTTCTGCTGGGATGCAGGCACTATGGGGACAGGCCGAGGTGGCAGCTCACCCTAGATGTCTGAAAGGACTCCTCTTACAGCTGGAGTTAGCCAGAGGCGTCTAAGGGACTTTGCTCGGAACATGCTGCCAAGACCACTGGGGCCAGGTGGGCTCCCACCCCTGAGGAGGTTCTGTGGTGGCCGGCAGTTGGGGCTCAGGTAGATGGGGAGGGATGTGGCCAGCTGTGCCCTGGGGCTACAGTTTCCAGTCTGTAAGATGTTCCTTGGGACTGGATTGGGGCCCTCTTTCAAGGAGTGGGTCACTCACTCCAGAACAAGGCTCTCAGGCTCTCAGGCCCCCGCTTCTCCTGCCCACCAAGATGAGTCCATGAGGCCAGACCCTCACAGCCTAGATCTCCTGCTCAGGCTTTCCACCCCGGAGGCTRGGACGGCCTGCAGCCCTGCCTAGGGACGCCAGGTGGGCTTCCAGTGGTCGTTCTGGTCCTCCTGTTCTGGCACATAGACCCAAAGCCCAGACACTCAACTGCTGCAGGATGGCCCCTGCTGTCCTTGAGGAGGGATGAGGAATGTGGTGACGGGGGTCCTGTCCCATCCGCAGGATTCATGGTGAGACTCAGCTGGCCCATAGGAGCCTGGGCAGAGTCCAGACAAATGAAGGGACCCTGGAGGGTCCCTCAAGATACTGGAGCCTGCCATTAGGGCCAGATGAGTCGGGTGGAAACCAGGCCCATGGTTTAAGTGGGGGAGGGGGCTACCAGGGTGCAGCAGCCTCATTCCTCTCCTGTCTCATGGGAAACCCACTGGGACAGGGAGGGGCTGCTCCAGAGGCCTCAGCACCTACCCTTGGAGAGACCCCTG